AGGGAGCCCGATGCGGGGCTCGATCCCAGGACCCTGGGACCATGACCTGAGCCGAAGGCAGACGCTTAACGACTGAAGCCACCCAGGCGCCCACCAATAGGATTTTATTTTAAAAAACAAGAGGCAGGCAGGATTTGGTTATAGTTTGCTGATTTTTTTTTTTAAGATTTTATTTATTTAGGGGCGCCTGGGTGGCTCAGTCATTAAGCGTCTGCTTCGGCTCAGGTCATGATCCCAGGGTCCTGGGATGGAGCCCCGCATCGGGCTCCCTGCTCGACGGGAGGCCTGCTTCTCCCTCTCCCACCTCCCCTGCTTGTGTTCCCTCCCTCACTGTCTCTCTCTCTGTCAAATAAATAAAATCTTAAAAATATTTATTTATTTATTTATCAGAGAGAGGGAGAGAGAAAGCACAAACAGGGGGAACGGCAGGCAGAGGGAGAAACAGGCTCCGATGTGGGGCTCAATCCCAGGACCCTGGGATCATGACCTGAGCTGAAGGCAGATGCCCAACCGACTGAGCCACCCAGGCACCCGGGAAAATGTGTTTCTTAAGATAAATGTTATTAACTGCTCTTTATTTTCACCTGGGATTTATCTGGCAAATTACATTGGCCTCCTTTTGAACTGTGGTTGAAGGGAGAGCGCAGTGGTCTGGCATGTGCATAGGAATCACCTGGTGATCCATTAAAATGAAGGTTGTCAGTCATTGGGTCTGCATGGGTCTGAGAGGGGATATTTATGATATAATGCTGCTGGTCCATGAACCACAGTAGCTGTCCATGTAGGCTGTTGACATGAAGGAAAATGGATGGGTCTGCTGGTCTCCCTGGTCTGCTTTTCTCACATGTGGAAAAGCTCCCGCACTTTTGAAAGAATGAAGTCAGCTACAAGAGGTTAAAGTCTGTGGGGAAGAATAGTAGCACCACGTGCTACCAAAGGGTAGGGAAATGATGAGGGAAAAAGAGAACTTGTGTTCTCTGGGGCTTATCTGCAGACCACATTCAGACAACCAGGGGAACTTTAATCTCTTTGGACTTTGCTTGAAATGCTGGACTAGAAAAGGAGTACATGAGAGGAGAGATGGCAGATGAGGCTTTTGCAAAAACCATTGACACCTTTATCCCCTAGCAAAGTAGTGTGATGACACGCATCGTCAACAGTGTGACTTTTATTAAGCTACGTGGACCATCTGACCATTTCCCCAGCAATACACTGGCAATGATAACTAAAGCAAATACAGCAAATTGTAGAATTAGATTGTAGAATTTAGGTGATGGACGTACAGATGTTCACTGAGCAGTTCTTTCTGCTTCCCTGCATGTTTGAAAATCTTCATAATAAAATACTGAAAAAAGGGGGTGCCTGGGTGGCTCGGTTGGGCGACTGCCTTCGGCTCAGGTCGTGATCCTGGAGTCCCGGGATCAAGTCCCGCATCAGGCTCCCTGCTCAGTGGGGAGTCTGCTTCTCCCTCTGACCCTCTCCCCTCTCATGTGCTCTCTCTCTCTCTCAAATAAATAAAATCTTTAAAAAAAAATATTGAAAAAAGTATGCTTCCTACCTCTCACGGTTTCCATAAGGTAAAAATGAGGTAAATTAGAACAGAGTAGATGTAGCTAAATAATGTTAACCTAGTCTGACCAGTGGGTACACTCTAAGGGACTTTCTCTTAGCAGTTTTAGAAATCATAAGCATAAATATACATAAAATATCTCTGAGGGGATACACGAGAAAATAATAACATTGGTGGCCTGGGGTGGGGATGGGGAAGTTTGTAGTTAGAGGACAAGAATGGAAGGGAGACTTCTCACTGAATTCCCTTTTGTAAGTTTTGTGTATCAGATTATATGTATGTATTACCTGTTCAACAATAAATAAAATAGGGGCACCTAGGTGGCTCACTCCGTTAAGCATCTGCCTTTGACTCAGGTCATGATCTCGGGGTCCTGAGATAGAGTCCTGCATCAGGCTTCCTGCTCAGCAGGGAATCTGCTTCTCCCTCTCCCTCCCCCTGCTCTCACTCGTTCACGTTCTCTCTCTCTCAAATGAATAAATAAAAAATCTTTAAAAAATAAATAAAAAACAGATGTAGAGCTCTCCAAGTCTAACAGTCTCTTTCCAAGTAGTATAATAAGTGTTAAATTACAGAACTTGCTGTGCATGGAAGCAAAGAAGTCAATGTCCAGCTGCATGAAGTGGGGCATTGTGGGACTGACTGACCTGTCAGCAACCAGCTCCTCGGTCTATTTGAGGATGTTTTGACTATGAGCCAAAGGTCTACATTTTCCATTCCTGTTTTCCTGGCAGGGCTGGGCCCAGGAAGTAACTAGGTTGGGTAGCCCCAAAATGAGGGGTTCAGGGGCACCTGGGTGGCTCACTGGGTTAAGCATCTGACTCTTGATTTCAGCTCAGGTCATGATCTCAGGGTCCTGGAATCAAGCTCCACATTGGGCTCTGTGCTCAGCACGGAGTCTGCTTGGGATTCTCTCTCTCCCTCTCCCTCTGCCCCTCTCCCTGCTCACACTCTCTATCTCTCTCTAAAAATAAATAACTAAAATCTTCAGGAAAAACAAAAAGAATGGGGGGTTCAGAGGCAGACTGGAGGTAGACCGCACTGCTGCAGACTTGCATTAAAGGAGGCCGACAGAGCTAAGAAGTGAGAGGTGCACCTCATGATTGGGGCAGAGTCCTGTGTAACTAATGGTTTACATATTACATACCTTACAGTTTACAGAGTGTTCATAAACACTGCTTCCTCTGAGCAACACAGCTGCCCTAGGAGGTGAGTACCGATTTTGGTCTGTTTCCCTGAAGAGGAAGCTAAGTGGGGTGGCCATGAGATATGCCTCTCTGATGTCCTTCCACCTGCAGGAGCAACTGACTGAGGGCCCCCCTGTGTTCTGAAATGCACCGATGTGTTTGAGCTAAGGCCATGCTGCCCATGGTTTCTTTTGTTGTTCTTTTTTTTTTTTTTTAAGATTTTATTTATTTATATATTTTTAAGGAAGCTCTACGCCCAATGTGGGGCTTGAACTTATGACCCTGAGATCAAGCACTACATGGTCTACTGAGTAAGCCAGCCAGGCGCCCCCCTATTGTTGTTCTTTGTTAATAATTTGCCCTTTACCATTCTTCATCCCCACTTTTCATTGTCCTTGTTAATGTTCTGGGGTTTGTAATTATGCTGGCCAATTTAGAGATTCTAGGAATGTACACAGGCCAGAAAAACTACTATTTGCAGATCACCCTTATGGTTTGGCAGAGGATGTCATAAACCCACAAATGCTAGTCTAAGAAGAAAGCTGTGTAAGTTCGTTGAAATGGTGTCACCAGAAGAATGGAGACATTGTAAGCTGTGAGCACGACACCATATAACATAGGGTAGGGAGGAGGCAGAAGAATCAGCAGGCTCTTTTCTAGGCTCTTCTTGGAATTGGCCTGCAGCAATCTGGTAGGCTGTTGGCATGAGTTCCCAGGATTCCACGGGGAGTTCATTCTGAATGGACAGAATGTTTTGTCAGAACAATTAGGGCTTCCTTCCTAAAGTGTGCTTGGCTGGGAAAGAAAGCAAGAACCCTTGAGGGGCCAGTGTTCTAGGAGTGGTTGGCCCTGAAATGATGCATGGAGGAAGGGCTACAGTATAAGGATGGTGGAAGGGATTTTGAGCAACATGAAAAGCCGAGTCTTGTGGAAGCAACCCTCATAGGCAAGCTGACCTGATCATTATAACGCTTACCTCTTGCTCATATATCCCTCAAGATAGGAAGTATGGCTGGAGAATAGGAGAGTACCAAAGCAAGAAAGGCCAAAGGAAAGTGAGAGCTTGAGAGGCAGAACTTGGTTTGGTGAAGAAATGAAGAACGTCTAAGGAGCTGTGTATGTAACCAAACTGGTGATGAGCAGGAATCTGTTCCTTATCTGTACAAGTGCTTGTGCACGCATGTGCCGTGCGCAAACACACACACACACACACACACAGAAGGAGCAATATTACCTTGCCGCTTTATAACGTCAGGATCCTCAGACATTAACTGTATTTGGAGCTCTCCAAGAATAGGGGTCGTGAATTTTCCATCTGTTACATTGGTTGCATGGCGGGGCCTCCTTGAATACATGTATTGTTCTTTCGGGTGTCATGGAAAATGTATCCTTGGCTCCCTGGCAATATGCATTGTGCTAATTGATTTGTATGCTTAAGAGCACAGAGGTTCCTTACCTCATCTGCAACACTGTTCATCTACACATTTTGAGAACTCTAGCTAACAGTCCAGGTTTTTTGTTTGTTTTTGTTTTTTAAGTAGGCTTCAGGCCCAGTGTGGAGCCCAACGTGGGGCTTGAACTCACCATCCTGAGATCAAGACCTGAGCTGAAATCAAGAGTCAGATGCGTAACTGACTGAGCCACCCAGGTACCCTCTTAACAGTCCAGTTTTAACACGTGTCTGACTAAGCATGAGGTATGTCATTGCCAACAGTCAGTTCTAGATTGGACCCCTACAGCCATTAGCTATTTTCTGAGAGACCTGGAAAATCAACTATAAACCAAAACTGGAGGATGAGGGGTGGGCTATTGGTGGTGATTGTGGTGGTGGTTGCTGGAGGATATGGGCAAGGACCTGAAGGAAACTGCTCATTCTGGCAGGAGGAGGATAGTGCCTGCAGACCCAAGACAAGGAGTCACAGGAAAAGGAAGTCTAGTGGGCTTCTACTTTTTCCAGGATTTCTGTCTGCCCAATTTCCTATGGATTCAGAGGATTGGTAAGGAGCTGCCAAGTCTTTTCAGGGACCCCACAGCTGCTTGAAGATTGTATTAGGGATTCTCAAAGATAGGCAGACTTCTTTCTGAAGTCTGAGCCACCCAGGCGCCCCAAAGACAGTTTTATTTCTTCCTTCCCAAACTGTTTACCTTTTATTTCCTTTTCTTGTCTTATTGTATTAGCTAGAACTTCCAGTACAATATTAAAAGGGAATGGTGGGAGGGGACATCCTTCCCTTGTTACTCACATTATGAAGCTTTTGGTCTTTAAATTTTCTTTTATGCTTTATACCTACAAAAGTAGAAATACAGGCTCATTACACATTTTCAAATGTTTTAAAAAAAATATGTAATACAAAAGTGGGAGTTTGGAGGCGCCTGGGTGGCTCAGTCGTTAAGCATCTGCCTTCGGCTCAGGTCATGATCCCAGAGTCCTGGGATCGAGCCCCGCATCGGGCTCCCTGCTTGGCGGGAAGCCTGCTTCTCCCTCTCCCACTCCCCCTGCTTGTGTTCCCTCTCTCACGGTCTCTCTCTGTGTCAAATAAATAAGTAAAATCTTAAAAAAAAAAAAGTGGGAGTTTTTTTTCCATCCCTAACCACCTACCTCAAGTTGCTATTGCCAGTTATTTGATATGTCTCTCAAGATGGCGTACTTTGTGGGGCACCTGGGTGGCTCACTTGATTAAGCATCTGACTCTTGATTTCAGCTCAGGTCATGATCTCAGGGTCATGAGATCGAGCCCCAAGTTGGGCTTGATGCTGGGCGTGGAGCCTGCTTAAGATTCTTTTTCTCTGGGGCACCTGGGTGGCTCAGTCCTTATGCTTTGCCTTCCGCTCACGTCGTGATCCCAGGATCCAGCCCCATCGCATCCAGCTCCCTGCTCAGCAGGAGGCCTGCTTCTCCCTCCCCTACTCCCGCTGCTTGTGTTCCCTCTCTCTCCATCTCTCTCTCTGTCAAATGAACAAATAAAGTCTTAAAAAAAAAAAAAAGATTCTTTGTCTCCCTCTTCTTCTGCCTCCCCTTCCCTGTGCACTCTCTCTAAAACAAAACAAAACAAAACAAAAAAACATACTTTGTGATTTTGAAGCAAATTGTGTGTGCCTTAACACATGATATCTCTGACAAAAAATAAATTTCACTGCAAACTGAGATTCCTTGGTAATTTGGACTATAGGTATTAAGCTACGTGTATGTTTGTGTGTAAAAGAGAGAAAGACAGGCAGATTGAATGTGATAAAATCGCCCCTACTCCTTTTCTGGGAAATGCTCTTCAGTTCTTGATTTTTATCTTTCATAGGAAATTGTGTTATGAGTTAGGTAGCCAGATCATTTATTTAACAAGAATATGTTAAAAAATTTTTTAAAGATTTTATTTTATTTTTTTTTTAAGAGAGGGACAGAGAGAGAGGGAGAGAGCACAAGCAGGGGAGGGGCAGGCAGAGGGAGAAGCAGGCCCCCCACAGAGCAGGGAGCCCGATGCAGGGCTCGATCCCAGGACTCTGAGATCATGACCTGAGCCGAAGGCAGACGCTTAACTGACTGAGCCCTGAATATGTTAAAATTTACTTCAGTTACAGAATTCCCTAATAAGAATTCTCTAAAATTAATTAAATAAATAAATAAAGTAACTGGTTATGAGTTATGACCCAAATATGTGCTTGCTCACCTGTTGGAGAGCTGTCAAGAACATGATGACCTGTGTGTGTCTTCTGCCCCAGGATCCTTGAAGTTCTTACAAATACATGAAGGGAAGGAGACATGTCTTAGATGCCTAGCAAAGATACCCTGGAGTAGAGACTTGAGGATTCTTTTTTTTTTTTTTAAGCTTTTATTTATTTATTTGACAGAGAGAGAGACAGCGAGAGCAGGAACACAAGCAGGGGGAGTGGGAGAGGGAGAAGCAGGCTTCCCGCTGAGCAGGTAGCCCGATGCAGGACTTGATCCCAGGACCCTGGGATTACAACCTGAGCCAAAGGCAGACGCTTAACCAACTGAACCACGCAGGCGCTCCAAGACTTAAGAATTCTTTTTTTTTTTTTTAAAGATTTTATTTATTTATTCATTAGAGACAGAGAGAGAGAGGCAGAGGGAGAAGCAGGCTCCCAAGGAGCAGGGAGCCCGATGCGGGACTCGATCCCAGGACCCTGAGATCATGACCTGAGCCGAAGGCAGACGCTTAGCCATCTGAGCCACCCAGGCGCCTGAGACTTAAGAATTCTTAAGGAAATGATTGGTTGAGAGACTTCTCCTGGAAGTGAAACCTTGTACCTTTGGGGATGCCCCGCCACCAAGCAGTTCCAGAGGTTGGTGCTGGCTGGTTGGGAATGCGTGTTGCTTGGAAAAGGCAGGTATAGAGACCTAAAAGGGGACTAGGAACGGGTCCTGTGATCCTGCTGCCACCTCTGCTCAGTTTGTGCTCCCACACCAAACTTTTTCAGAACATTTGAGAGAATATGCCTTGGTTCATGAATCAGACTTGCGATTTTGAGACTTCTTACACTTGATCTTAGCCAAAAGGCCAAGAAGCGATGGGAGACTTCCTAACTGGCCATCTCCAAGCACTATGGGACTTCCTGACTCAGGTACATGTGTAACGTTCACAGGTGGATTTCCTAGAACAGGTGAGCTGTACCCAGTTACTGGCTTTCTGTAACCAAGTTGCTAGGTACAATTTAACAATCATCAATGACTCCTATGGCTAGGTATTTAGTTTTTGAGCAGTAAGTACACTCTAATAAAAATCTTCATTAAAAAAAACCTTTTTATTCTGTCACAGGTAATATAGTTCATTGAATTAATTAATTAGTTTCTTATAATATAGTTCATTTTAGAGAACAGAGATAAACAGTATGAAAAAAAGAACTGTAATCCTCCCACCAAATGATAACTATAATTAACATTTTGGTATATTTCCCTTTAAAATACCCATACTTTAACAAACTTTCAATAAATAGACATTTTATACTTATATGAGAAAGTTTTCCTTCCTCCTTTTATTTTAACTTAGCGATAGCTACGATGTTTCTTCTCCTTTCTTTTTTTTTCAGAATTGCTATATTATTAGTATTTTTCAAAAACAGTTGACCACAGGGTGCCTGGGTGGCTTAGTTGGTTAAGCCTCTGCCTTTGGTTCAGGCCAGGATCTCGGGATCCTGGGATGGAGCCCCGTGTCAGGCTCCCTGCTTAGCAGGCAGTCTGCCTCTCTTTCTCCCTCTGCCCCTACCCCCGCTTGTGCTTGCTCTCTCTCAAATAAATAAATAAATAAAATCTTTAAAAAAATACAGTTGACCATGGATTATTTTTATTCATCCTAATGACAACCTTGGGTGTTTTAAATATCTGTATCTTTATATTCTGGATAGAGACCCTGAGAGCTATAATGTTTCTTTATGAAAGTTTTGAGAAGATAAACAATCAGTTTGCTTTGGTTATTTAAACACACATTCTGTTCAAATGGCATTCTTTTTTACTTACATTTTTTTAGGGAGGTTATGTTTAAAAAAGAGCTTTACGCTGATTCACAGACCAAAGTCCTTGGACCTCGGTTAGAATTGCTTTAGTTTGAACAGAAAAGACGCTTTAATATTTCTATCCTCTAAACTTCAACCTGGGTTGTTTCTTTATTTCCTCCTTGAGTGTTTGTAAGTCTTTTGTCTTCAGAGAGATTTATTCAACTAAAGAATCCTGTTACTCAGACTGGAGTCATGTGGGTAACCGGGTAAATGGGTAACCGGGTAAACAGCCAACCTGGACACACAACTGTAGAAAATTTAATGTTCACCATACATTTACTGAAAAAAGCAAGCTACCAAATAATACTGATAATATAAACCTACTTTTATGAAAGTATAAGATTAGATAAATACATTTACGAAGAACAAATACAGAAATGCTATAGTCCAAAATATTACCAGTGGTTCTCTCTAGGTGATAGAGTTATGGGTGATTATTATTTCATTCGTGTTTATATTTAAATTTTTTCTTCAAGAGGCATATATTACATGTTTTCATAAATTATTTTTATAATCAAACAAAACTTTATGGTAAGATCATAGTCTTTATTGGTCAAAAATAAAATGATAGTTCAAAAAAGGAAATCCCATTTATTTCCAACATATTCTCCCTCCCAATAACTCTCCTCCTTATCTAAAACATTCATCAAGCTAAGTGCTATGTGGTTTCCTCTCAACTCTGAGAGGATGATTTTGAGAAGCAGAAAATCTGTAAGAAGAGCAGAGTGGAAAGAGGAATAAAACACCAGCATGTATTACATGTATGACATTCAATTTAATTCAGCTGTATACTACCTAGGTACGTATGGATTTAATTATTTGTCTACATTTTCAAGATTGTATTTTTCAACCTGTAAAACCAGCCCGAAGCCCCTTAATGTGGGAGAGAGGGGAGCAGTGTTTTTGAGTCCATATTCCATTACCATCCTGTTATATCTAATCAGGATCTAAGTAATGAGTGTAAATGGTGAAGGGGAGGTGCATGGTGGTAGCTAACTGATCTGTATCTCAGTTTCAGAAACATTGTCTTCCCCTTCTCCTGGGACAGTAGATTAGAGTGGTTTTAGTTTGCTAAAGCCAAACATGAAGATTTCTGCAGTCTTGGAAAAGCAATGTAGCTCTCAGAGATGTGCACCAGCATAACTTTATGTCACATACTTTTTTTTTTATTTTTTTATTTCAGTGTTCTAACAGTTGAGGATCATCAAAGACAGATTGATTTTGGTTTGTTTGTTTTTACAGATCTGTTAAAATGACATCAGGATTATTCAACCCCAATATGGTCTTAAATTTTAGAAGGTCAACTCTGAATTCTTTTTTTTTTTTTTTTAAGATTTTATTTATTTATTTGACAGAGAGAGACACAGCGAGAGAGGGAACACAAGCAGGGGGAGTGGGAGAGGGAGAAGCAGACTCTCCGCTGAGCAGGGAGCCCGATGCGGGGCTTGATCCCAGGACCCTGGGATCATGACCTGAGCTGAAGGCAGACGCTTAACCATCTGAGCCACCCAGGCGCCCCCGCTTTTTGGATTTTTCTGTAATAAAATATTGAATTGAATGTAAAACTTTAGATAATTGGCTCAGATAAAAGGAATGACTCATCCTTGGATGACACAAATTGAACTTCACCTTGAGAGTGTGTCATTCTTCAGTTCAGAGAGTGGGATGATTCTGGAAGTGGCCCTGGCAGTGATTGGTAACGTCATGTTTCCCTAACTTTCTCAGTTGTTTGGTGAGTCATTAAGGATTGTTAATATTAGGGGCACCTGGGTGGCTCAGACGGTTGAGCCTCTGCCTTCGGCTCAGGTCATGATCCCGGGGTCCTGGGATCGAGTCCCACATCGGGCTCCCTGCTCCTTGGGAGCCTGCTTCTCCCTCTGCCTCTCTCTCTGTCTCTCATGAGTAAATAAATAAAATCTTAAAAAAAAAAAGGATTGTTAATATTAGCTTTGTCAGAAGCCAGGCAAGGAAAAGAATTTTTGCCAAATCACATTCCAGAGCTAGGATGTAGAACGAGGGTGAATATAATGGCTAAGTCACTCCTGAAACTTTTGGCTCAGCCATCGTTCCAAAATTAACATACTTAAACAAAAACCAGAAACAAATCACTCTTTTCCTGCCCCTACTTCCTACTTTGCTCTTGCCTAATAGGAAGACTCAGAGAAACGGAAGGATCAGGCATCTTAAAAATGAAAGCAGGCCACAAGGACAGGTTCCCAAGGGTGACAGGCCACAGCTTTGGCCTCCAACAAAAGATGAGGCAGCCATCTGAGGAGAAGGTGCTTGGCTGCAGATCTGTGCCTCAGGCCATTTTCATGCAACAGAGGCACAGAGACCCACTGAGTGAGATAGATATCAGTAGGGTTTCTTCCTGATCTGGAATTCTATGGTTGTCCTCTGGGCTTTGTGGCCACAAATTAAAATGACCTGATTACAATTCTTAATTCCCGAGAAAGAGCAAAAAAGATGTAAATGTGGTCACCACAGGTCTGATGTCCTTGGGGAACTGATTAAGCCTGGAGACTGACACACAGGTAGTATACGGGGTGTGTGTGTGTGGGGGGGTATGTGTGTTTGGGGCAGACTTTTTTTTTTTTTAAGATTTATTTATTTGACAGAGACAAAGTGAGAGAGGGAACACAAGCAGGGGGAGTGGGAGAGGGAGAAGCAGGCTTCCCGCCGAGCAGGGAGCCCGATGCGGGGCTCGATCCCAGGACCCTGGGATCATGACTGGAGCCGAAGGCAGTTGCTTAACCAACTGAGCCACCCAGGTGCCCCTTGAGTTATATTTTTGTATATATTGTGGGGAGGCCATGGAGCCAGTCATCTCAGGGTCTGGTTTCAACTCTACCAGCTATGGTGCCTTAGGCAAATCACTCAGCTGCTTTGTCCCCTAGAAGTCTGGCTGGAATGCAGTATGTTTCCCTTTTCTTGGATTACCTGCATCAGGATGACCTGAGCTACTTTTTAAATGTTTCTGGACTTTTTTTTTTTTTTTTAAGATTTTATTTATTTTTTTTATGTGAGAGAGAGAGCACAAGCGGGGGGGAGGGGCAGAGGGAGAGGGAGAAGCAGACTCCCCGCTGAGCATGGAGCTTGATATGAGGCTTAATCCCGGGACGCTGGGACTGAGGCACCCAGTCGCTCCTCTTTTTTTTTTTTAAAGATTATTTATTTATTTACTTATTTATGTTATTTGAGAGAGAGAAAGAGGGAGAGAGAGAGCATGAGCTAGGAGAGGGCAGGAGGAGAGGGCAGGAGGAGAGGGAGAGAATCTCAAGGTGACTCTGCCCTGAGCAAGGAGCCCATTGTCGGGCTCCATCCCATGACCCTGAGATCATGACCTGAGCCGAAATCAAGAGTCAGACACTCGATTGACTGAGTCACTCAGGTACCCCCTGGACTATTTCTTAAATTTGGTGAAAAAGAATCTCTGGGGATGAGGTCCCAGAATCTTTATTTTTATTTTTAAAGATTTTATTTATTTATTTGACAGAGAGAGAGATAGCGAGAGCAGGAACACAAGCAGGGGGAGTGGGAGAGGGAGAAGCAGGCTTCCTGCCAAGCAGGGAGCCCGATATGGGGCTCCATCTCAGGACCCTGGGATCATGACCCGAGCCAAAGGCAGACGCTTAACGACTGAGCCACCTGGGTGCCCAGAATCTTTATTTTTAAAAAGTGCCCCAGGCCATTGTCATGCACACAGGGACTCACTGGATGGGACCATCAGTGGGATCTCTTTCTGCTCCAAAATTCTGTTCATTCTCATCACCTGAATTTTACTTAGCTCTATTTTCTGTGAACAAAATGAAATTAAAAGGAGAAAGGCAATGACACTAGCTAAGAACCTATTATTTGCCTGGTGCTATGTTTGGGGTCTTATACTCATTGTCTTATTTTTCTGCACAATAATCCTTCGAGGTAGGTGTTATTGTTATCACACAGTATACATAAATTCCAAGTTGGAACTCTGTACAAACTTCCAACTATATGATGAATAAGTTCTGGGGATGTAATATACAGCATGATGACTATAGTAAACAGTACTGCTTTGTATATTTCAAAGTTGTAGAGAGTAGATTTTAAAAGTTCTCATCACATACACACACAAATTGTCACTATATACTATGATAACTAACCTTACTGTAGTAATCCTTTTTCCATATATATGTATATAAAATAACTGCATTGTACACCTTAAACTTACACAATGTTATATGTCTACTGTATCTCAATAAAACTGGAGGGGAAAAGTCAGGGTTCTGATTTCAAAGTCAATTTTTTTGTTGTTGTTTGTATGTTTGTTTGTTTGTTTACTTATTTTTGCCACAGTCTCATGCTATAGTAAGAAACCACAGAAGAACTTATTATAATTGGTAAGCTCTAGTGTAGCACCTTATCTTAATACAATAGATTACTATTTTAGGATCTGTTTCTTCATCCTTGTTAATCACTGAGCTTCTCCTATTGTGAATGTTAATTACCTGATTTGATGATGATAATATGAAAACAGTAAGCTTCACTGTATTCTTTGCCTTCTTTTTCTCACCTATTTAAAATGTATTCTTCTGGGGTGCCTGAGTGGCTCAGTCGGTTGAGTGTCTGCCTTAGGCTCAGGTCATGATCCCGGGGTCCTGGGATCGAGCCCCACATCGGGCTCCCTGCTCCACAGGAAGCCTGCTTCTCCCTCTCCCACTCCCCCTGCTTGTGTTCTCTCACTGTGTCTCTGTCAAATAAATAAATAAAATCTTCAAAAAATAAAATCTATTCTTCTTATAATCTATGCGTTTTCTGAGGCAAGAGGCAATCTAAGTCCTTTGTGTGTGATAGGGAATAAATTGGATATAAATAAATAACAAAAAGTAAGCTATATTATGAATTCATTTAATAATTGCATTCACTTAGGGGCGCCTGGGTGGCTCATTTGGTTAAGCAACTGACTCTTGGTTTTGGCTCAGGTTGTGACCTTGGGGTCGTGGAATCGAGCCCCATGTGTGGCTCTGCACTGAGCATGGAGTCTGCCTGAGATTCTCTCTCCCCCTCTCCCTCTGCCTCTCCCACGCCTATGTTCACGCTCTCTCTCTCTCTCTCTAAAAAATAAATCTTTAAAAAAATAATTGCATTCACTAAAATAGAAAAAAAATACATGAAGTTGTGATACCCCCAGGATAATTTCAGTTTATGAAATCTCAAACCTATAACTAGCTATAAGATGGAGGGAAAAGAAATAAATTAGACAAGACATGGATTTGAAATTTGGTGAGATCTATCTTTTGTATGCTTCTACTTATCTATTCAAATAGAGAAGAGAAGGGGCCCTGGCAGGCTAAATATGAAATCCTTTGAGAAGGATAAGGAGGTTGGTTTGTTTGGAAACTAAGTCAAGACAAAGGCCATGTGAAAGAGGAGCTGCCTTTTCCTCTCCAAGGTATTTGGAAGGGAATAAAAGAAGAATGGCAGTTTGGGCACGATTAGGAAAGTAGATGAATTGGGTTATCCGAGAAATTCTTCCTGCTGGTGACCAGTTTGCATGGAGTTTGAACTGGTCAAAACAGAAATCATCTGGCCTCCTGACTCATTAGTTGTGACCCATTATTTTTGTCTCTGGTTCATGAGAAAAGCAGTTTTATCTAATTTCCAGCTCAGATGAAAAGAAAAAAACATAGTATTTTTCTCCTGTGTTTGGCTGGGCTGTCTTATGATAAGGGAATAAGGAAAAGGCACCTGTCTGGTTTGGGATAATGTTTATAGGAAGAACATTGTAACACATAAACAATGTATTGTTCTTTTTTGTATTAAGACAATACAGCTGGAAGGAATGCTAGATACCATCTAACTCCTTCATATAGGCATTGAGGCCTATGAAGGTCAGGTGTATTCACTGCCTAAGAGCACACACCATAGATTTGGGAGCCAGACCTACTTGATTTGAGACTCGGTTCTGCCATTTACAAGTTTGTGGCCTTGGGGCTGAGGAGGACCTCAAAGAGAAGAGCTGTGTGGCACAGAGTGAGTAGTTTGCCAGATGGGCGAGAGACTGAGGGTATGTCCAAAGAGGGAGGGCTGGGAGGGAGAGAGGGCTGCATGGTGGAGTCAATGCAGGTGGATGTAGCTGGAGCATCCTGGAGTGGAGAGAATAAGCCAGGGAGAGAACCTGTTTTTTGTTTTTGTTTTTTAAAGACCTTATTTTATTTATTTGACAGAGAGACACAGCTAAAGAGGGAACACAAGCAGGGGGAGCAGGAGAGGGAGAAGCAGGCTTCCCACCGAGCAGGGAGCCCGATGCGGGGCTCGATCCCAGGACCCCGGGATCATGACCTGAGCCCAAGGCAGACGCTTAACGACTGAGCCACCCAGGTGCCCCAGAACCTGTTGTTCTGACTTTGGAAGAGGAAAGTTCATTGCCAGGTTTTTTTTTCCTTGCTATTTCACTATTACTTTGTATCAATTATATACTCAAAGAAGGCTGAGCTGCTACAAACTCTGGGATAGTTTTCTTTGTCCACAGGGTCTCCCAGTTTGTTGCTCAGGAAGAGGAGGCAGGGCTTGGGTTGTTGCTGGTCCTTTGGAGCCCCTTCTACTTCCCCTGTGAGCTGAGCTCTCTTCAGCCCAGGGCCCAGCATGGCTCTCTTGGACAAAAGAGCTCTGGGTGTGGTTATAAAACAATAATAGCTACCATTTCTAGGTATTTGGCATTATTCTGTTGAGTGTATTGATTCATTTAGTCCTTGCAAAACATCTTTTTTCTTTTCTCAACTTTTCAAAACTTACCTAGAGAAGTAGAACATACATGCAAAAAATATATAGGTTTAATATATGATACATATATCAAAGTATAAATTCATTTAAGTTTAATAAAGTTTCACAAAAAGAGCACAAACATGTCACTAGCTCCCAGCACAAGAAAAAAGTTAGCAGTGGGGCACCTGGGTGGCTCAGCTGGTTAAGTGACTCTTGATTTCAGCTCAGGTCATGATATCAGAGTCGTAAGATCTAGCCCTGCGTTGGGCTCCGTGCTGAGCGTAGAGCCTGCTTGGGATTCTCTTTCTCTTTCCCTCTCCCTCTGCCCCCGCCCCTCATTATCTATCTGCCCCCCGCCCCCCCGCCACCGCCGGCCCCGGTGTATGGTATGTGCTTTCTCCTACTCTCCGTCAAAAAAAAAAAAGGAAAGAAAAACTTAGCATCACTCAAAGGGCTTTCGCCGGCCGCATCCAGTCACTAGTCCTCCTCAGGCCCCAAAGCAATGGCCATCTTTACTTCTAACAGCAGAACTTAGTTTGCTTGTTTTGTACAGTGTTACTTGTCTGCAGTTTCTTTCATTTACATTACATTGTATATGATTACAGGTCCAATAATTTTCTTTCATTGCTACATTATTTCCTCTACCTTGTCTCTTGAAACATTTAAAGCCCCAGAAAAGTTGAAAAACAAGTACAGTGAACACCCATATGCCCTTTATTTAGAGCACGGAGGACTATTATTATTTCCACTTTATAGGTGAGGGAACTAAGGCAAAGAGAAATTAGGTAATTAACCTAGGTCATGCCTCTAGGATGTAGTCTTGCATAACTTGCTGCTTACCCATATGGGCAAATCCCATAACTTGTCTGAGGCTGTTCCTTCATTAATAAGATGGGTTTCCAGACTTTTGTGAGGCTGAAATGTGAGGAACATGTGAAAGTGCTATGTGAGCACTACAGGGGCTCAAAAAGGGTATTAAAAATGCAGGCTCCTGGGTCTCCCTACAGATCCTGGCTCAGTAGGTCTGGGGTAGGAGGCAGAATGTTTAACAAACACCCTAGGCTTTTGATTGAGGCTCGAATCCCCTACCACAGTATGAAAAAACACTTCTATAAAACAATGATTCCCAAACTTCAGAGACTATCAGAATCACCTTGAAGACTTGGACATTAATCTTGCTGCCCGCTCCACATTCACTGACTCTGGAAGACAAAAGAGGGTTGTAGGTGTTACCTGCTCTATCCTCTTGTGGGCTTGGCCTCAAGATTAGTCCCTGGAGCCCTCTCCCTTAGAGGCACAGAAAAACAAAAGGGGGCGCCTGGGTGGCTCAGTCGGTTAAGCGACTGCCTTTGGCTCAGGTCATGATCCTGGAGTCCCGGGATTGAGTCCTGCATCGGGCTCCCTGCTCGGCGGGGAGTCTGCTTCTCCCTCTGACCCTCCTCCCTCTCATGCTCTCTCTATCTCATTCTCTCTGTCTCAAATAAATAAATAAAATCTTTAAAAAAACAAAACAAAACAAAAGGAAGCTTGCTCATCCTTAAGGAGGACAAATGTCTCAAAAGGAAAAGCTGTTTGTAGGTGAAAGGGCAAGAGCGTTCTGTTGCAAAATGAGAGGTCAGATGGGAGGGAAGTAAAAAAAAAAAAAAAAAAGACCCATCGAGTCATTACTCAAAAGTCAATATTCTTGCCCTCTTACATCAGAGCAGGGGTTAAATTAACAACTGGCACACCAAACACGTGCTTACAGCCCCAAGAAACCTGGAACACCAAAAAGAAAAGAATAAAGAGAGAGAATTTGATTGCTTAAAGCATTGAAAATGTCAACATCGTGGGGTAAAACCTAAAAACCAACTCAGTACCTTTTTGGATTTTCTAATATTTATCTTAGGGTTTAGCACTGTGTTTTATTATGAATCACATGGTGCGAGAAGGAGGGAGACATACCGTATTTTCTCGCTGAGGGCTTCTAGATGTCTGAATCCGGTCTTGCATGAGGGATACATTTTTAATGGGTCAGTCTGGAGCTTTAAATATGCTCCCCTGCCACCTGCCAGCTGTCCCTTCCTTAGTTCCCCGTGGGAGAGTGTGAGGGGGTGAAGGCCGGCGGCAACAGCCCCTGGCTGGTCGGGGGAAAGTCCACGGAACTCCTACGCTGCCCGGGGCCGTTGCACAACTTGTTTGCTCAGATCATCTGGTGCAAGTCCCTGCATTTTTTTTTTTTTAAAGATTTTATTTATTTATTTGAGAGAGAGAGAGAATGAGAGACAGAGAGCATGAGAGGGAGGAAGGTCAGAGGGAGAAGCAGACTCCCTGCCGAGCAGGGAGCCCGATGCGGGACTCGATCCCGGGACTCCGGGATCATGACCTGAGCCGAAGGCAGTCGCTTAACCAACTGAGCCACCCAGGCGCCCAAATCCCTGCATTTTAAAGGCAAAAAAACTGGAACTCAAATGTTGGCGATTTAACTTCCTACCTCTCTTTCTTTTAAAAAGCACAACGTACAATTAAAAAAAAAAAAGCCACCTTGCATAATAATCAGCATAGACAGCTATCATCCTGGAGTGGTTGGGGCTTTTAAGTGTCGCTCAGAAAAAAAGAGGGGGACCAACCACGGTATTCCAAGGCCCTTTTTGGACAATGCGACTCAGCTTTAAATTAGAAATACATTCGAAGGACTGACTTTAACGACAGAAGAGCAACAAAAGAAGCTCTACGGGCCGTCATCGGGTTAGAATTGCACAAAACTTAAGAAGTGATTTACGTGCTAAAAATAAGTCTAGCAGCCAGGGTTTCCATTTTAAAGACAGTTCTATTCCGAGGACTGACGGGAATCAACAGGTTACCGGTCACTGGTGCGCGCGACTCCGCCGCCTCCGCCTTTGGCAAAACCCCGGAGCCGGGCTGCGCGCCGGCCGCCTCCGCCACGGGCCTCCCTGCCCCTCGGCCCCTCTCCCCTGCAGGGCGCCCGTCCGGGCGGGGCCTGGGGCAGGTTCGCGGCCCGGGCCGCCGGTCACGTGCTGCGGAGGCGCGGGCCGGGCGGGGTATATAGGCCGGTCGCCCGCGCCCCCGCTTGGAACGCCGCGCGGGACTCGCCGGACCGTGGTCTTTGCGCTGCTGTGGGTCGGTAGGTGCGCGCCCGCTCCGTGCGCCGCGGGCTGGCGTGGGGTGGGGGGGTCCGCGGGGCTCCAGGCTGGAACACGGTGGTCCCGGAGCCCGTCCGCCTCGCCGCCTCGCCGCCTCGGGGCGGTTTCCGGGTCGGGGCTGGGAAGGGGCGGTCTCCCGGGCCTGCGCTGTCCGCCTTTGCTGTCGGCCTTGGAGGCTCTTCTGCCCGCAGCTGCAGTGCGGGTAGAGCTTCTGGGCTTGGGTGCGGGGTAACAGTTTCCATTTGTCCCGCAAGTACGTTACTGGAAAGGAAATGAGCTAGCAAATTATGGGGTTCCAGCGACAGCGAGGCTGTGGATACTGGCGCCTGACTTGCGCCCTAAGAAGGGCTCTTACTCATTTCCTGCAGCACTGGGACCCTCGGCGGCCGGAGGGTGAGCTGCCCGGCTCTAAAGTGGCGGACAGCGGGCCGTGCAGGTTCTTCCTTCCCACTCTGCGGCTTAGCAGTGAGGCAGTTTTATGTGCGTGTATTCGGGTCGTTGGAGGCGCTAAATTTCCACTGAAAAGCCTCCTGGGTTGTTTCTCGATTTCTCGGAGCTGTTGCGCTTAGTTTCCCCTAGACGAGTTGCAGTCCTTTCCCCAAGGAAGGAATAAATCCCCCCAAAGTGTTTCCACTTGATAGTCCTGTCAAAAATGTCTTCTACTTGAGAGATCTCTCTCTCTCTCTCTTTTTTTTTTTTTTACAGATTTTATTTTATTTTATTTATTTCTTTTAAAGATTTTATTTATTTGAGAGAGAGAATGAGAGAGAGCATGAGAGGGAGGAGGGTCAGGGGGAGAAGCAGACTCCCTGCCCAGCAAGGAGCCCGATGCGGGACTCAATCCTGTGACTCCAGGATCATGACCTGAGCCGAAGGCAGTCGCTTAACCAACTGAGCCACCCAGGCGCCCTACAGATTTTATTTTTAAGTAATCTCTACACCCAACATGGGGCTTGAACTCACAACCCCAGGTCAAGAGTCTCATGCTCTACTGACTGAGCCAGACAGGCGCCCCTCTCTTTAAATTTTATAATGTGGATTTTAACTTGGTTCCAATGTTTTTGTGAACAGATGCTCCTCTTTGAAAGGCGGTGGACAAATAAGACCAACATCTCACCAATGCAATGTCTTTGCTTTTATCCCCCTCAGACCGTCTTTTCTATTGGAACTTTACCCATAATTTCTGAAAGCCGGCCTCAGAACATGTTTGCCCAGGGCAGAGCTCGGAGCTAGAGGGTGGGGAGAAGTGCAGAAGGCTACCTCATCTTGAATTTTTCTCTTCTTGAAATTCTCATTTACTTGGGTGGGGAGTGAATCTGAGAGAGTCTTATCCTGGTGTCCTGAAACCAGTTTCTCTTCCACAGATTTCTTTCTCCAAGAATAAAAATGGCATCTGTTGCAGTTGATCCACAACCGGTATGAATTTTAAATACGGTTTCTTGATCCCTTTCCCTCCCTGTCTGTTTTGAAGGAGTTAACACTTGCCCTGCTTGGTTGCAGAGTGTGGTGACTCGGGTAGTCAACCTACCGTTGGTGAGCTCCACGTACAACCTCATGTCCTCAGCTTACATCAGTACGAAGGATCAGTATCCGTGCTTGAAGTCTCTGTGCGAGATGGCAGAGAAGGGTGTGAAGACCATCACTTCCATGGCTGTGACGAGTGCTCTGCCCATCATCCAGAAGCTGGAACCACAGAGTGAGTTCTGATTTTTTTTAAAGATTTATTTATTTATTTGACAGAGAGAGACAGCAGAGAGACACAGCGAGAGAGGGAACAAGCAGGGGGAGGGGGAGTAGGAGAGGGAGGAGGAGGCTTCCCACTGAGCAGGGAGCCCGATGTGGGGCTTGATCCCAGGACCCAGGGATCACAACCTGAGCTGAAGGCAGATGCTTAACGAGTGAGCCATCCAGGCGTCCCTCATGACCTATTTTCAAAAGTAACCTCTTTGAGGGGCGCCTGGGTGGCTCAGTTGGTTAAGCGACTGCCTTCAGCTCAGGTCATGATCCTGGAGTCCCGGGATGGAGTCCCTGCTCAGCAGGGGGAGTCTGCTTCTCCCTCTGACCCTCCCCCCTCTCATGCTCTCTCTTTCTCTCATTCTGTCTCTCAAAGTCTTAAAAAAAAAAAAAGTAACATCTTTGAGATGTAATTAACACACCATACAGTTCACCCACTTAAAGTGTACTCAAGTATCTTTACAACTGATTTTAGAACCTTTTCATCACCTCGGAAAGGAACCTCCTACCAGTTTCTGTTTAAGATGATGAAAAAGTTCTGGAAATAATAGGATGATAATTGCTGCACATCATTGTGAATAAACTTAATGCCACTGAATTATGCATTTTATATACCTAGGAGTGGGATTGCTGAGTCCTCTAAGAACCATGTAAGCTTTTGAGGCACTGCCAGACTGTTTTCCAAAGCAGCTGCACCATTTTACATTCCCCCCAGCAGCGTATGAAGGGTCCCATGTCTTCATGTTATTAACTGCTTTTGAGTAAAGGTTTAAATCATTCCTCTAAATGGTTAGATCATGGACTTTCAGGACTATAAGAAACCTTTAGAGACCGGTTTTCCAACTCTGCTCCTTCCCAGATGAACTTGGTGTTAGCTTAGCGCTTGGGTCAGTCATCATTGGAAGGGAAGTTTAGACTAAAAACGGCTTGCTGGGCAGATCCAGGGTGCTGTTAGCATACTGTTCGCTGGTGACAAACCAAAATACGCTGCCACTTACGGGATTAAGTGGAGGTAGGGATTAAACTGGAGTGGAAATGCTAATTTTGAGAGTTTTCAGTTATCTCACTCCCGGAATGATGGTTCAGGTGAAGCCTGGCTTCTCTTGGCATTAACCTTAGATACCAGTTGATGAGGAAGAAGCTGCCTAGCCAGCTTCCTACCTGGCTTGTCACAGCCTCGCTGCTCCCTCCCACCCCCTTATTTCCCTGTCAGTAGAAGACAGTTGCCAGCAACCTGCTGCTGAGCTGGAAACACTAGGCAATGCATTGTGTAGTGAATGAAGATCAACATTCTTGCTATTCTTTAAGGCCAAAGGTTCAAGGTCTAATGTAGTATGTATTCATTCGTATCTGCACTTAACATTTTCCCCGTTTGTGCTTCTTCTAGTTGCGGTTGCCAATACCTATGCTTGTAAGGGGCTAGACAGGATTGAGGAGAAACTGCCTATTCTGAATCAGCCAACAAACCAGGTGAGCTTGGGCAAAGTGCTAAGGCTTGCCACTGCACACGTCTTCATGTTCTGTTTGGCACAGGCTGTGCATATCACAAACAGGAACTATTCTCTCCTCCTGGACGTATTTTTGGAAAGGCCACTCCCTCACTTGCTGAATTAGCGTCAGGTTTTGTTTAAGACGCAGACATGAACTAGCCACTTTTGGGCTATAATGCTTATGGTCTGATCTTTATTAATTTGTGGTTTTGCCTCTGTAGATGATATTGCTCTCACAAATAGCTGATTCCCATGTGGCATTAGAGAAATGTAGACGTGGTGTTTAGAATCTTTTCTCACTTGGTATCTGAGAGCACATCCAGTAGGAGGGAGAATAACCTCTCTGCCCCTGTGTTGGCCTTGTGGGGCTGTGTGCATCGGGCCAGCTGGGCATGGTACCTCTGTGTCTGCTCATAGGCATGCATGAGCTACTCTCACTGTAAGCATGTCAGCATGGAAAATGCCATTCTTTTCTACAGTACTCCTTCTGCCTTATTAACACATTCACCTGGTTTAAAAAAATACTAAAACAAATTTTACATCATTTTACCTCATTTGCTCCTCCAACAACCCTTGAGTGGCAGCAGGTAGGGCAGATAAGCTGCTAAGGAAATTGAGGCTTATCAACTCTTAGTGACTCGCCTAAGACCTAAAGCTAGAGAGTGACAGGGCCAGATTGCTTCCTTAGCACTTCAGCGAGGCTGCCTTAGTTAATACTTAGCCTGTACTGCTCCTCAGCCAAGCAGTGTGTTTTTCTATTTGTAGGTTGTTGCCAATGCCAGAGGTGCTGTGACTGGGGCAAAAGATGCTGTGACAACTGCTGTGACCGGGGCCAAGGATTCCATGGCCAGCACCATCACTGGGGTGATGGACAAGACCAAAGGAGCGGTGACTGGCAGTGTGGAGAGGACCAAGACTGTGGTCAATGGCAGCATTAACACAGTCTTGGGAAGTCGGATGATGCAGCTGGTGAGCAACGGAGTAGAAAATGCGCTCACCAGATCAGAGTTGCTGGTGGACCAGTACCTCCCTCTCACGGAGAAAGAACTAGGTAATTGGGGGCGCCCGGGTGACTCAGTTGGTTAGGCGTCCGCCTTCGGCTCAATCCCGGGGTCCTGGGATCCAGCCCCACACCAGGCTCCCTGCTGAGCGGAGTCTGCTGCTCCCTCTCCCTCGTGATCGCGCTCTTGCTCACTCTCAAATAAGTAAATAAAAAAATTTTTTTTTTTTTAAAGAACTAGGTAATTGGATTTTTGTCTTGAACTCATGGTTTATATCTTAAAGCAGTCTTTTAAAACTGCTTCATTGAGATCTACTTCATATGCCATAAAAGTCACCTGTTTGAGTCTGAGTTAGAGTTGCCCAGCCATCACCACAATCCAGGGGTGCAACGTTTCTGTCATGCCCGAAGACCCTTTGTGCCTGCCCGTAGTCTGTCTCCCTATCCTTTCCTGGGCAACCACTAATCTTTCTATCTCTGTAGACTTTCTGCTAAAGCAATCTTAAGTTTCACATTGAATTCTGCATAGTAAGTTTGGAAACCTTGGGGAGAAATGAATTCAGAGAAATTTTCTATAAATACATTGTCTTTAATGGGCTGCTTTACAGAAAATCGTTAAACATTCAGGGCCTACTGTGTGCCAAATCCTGTGTTGCCCAAGAAGCTCACTCTAACGGATTGAGACCTGTGTAGATAAAAATGTCAGATGCAGTGATATGTATGCGTTGGGTGGTCAAGCCCAGCAGCAGGCAGGAGCTGTCTTGGGCAAATGAGAACATAATTGCTAGGTGGGTAGGTAGAATCGACCAGGTAAGATCCAGGTTAGAGGCCACGCCTCATCAGTTTTAGCTGGGATCCCTTATGTTTTTTTGTCCCTTTTTTCCCCTAATTTCAGAAAAAGAAGCAAAAAAAGTTGAAGGGTTTGATATAGTTCAGAAGCCAAGTTACTACGTTAGACTGGGATCCCTGTCTACCAAGCTCCGTGCACGTGCCTACCAGCAGGCTCTCAGCAGGGTTAAAGAAGCCAAGCAGAAAAGCCAAGAGACCATTTCTCAGCTCCATTCCACTGTTAATCTGGTGAGTAAAACTTCATTTAAAGATAGCTAAAGTGAGGGGCGCCTGGGTGGCTTAGTTGGTTAAGCCACTGCCTTCGGCTCAGGTCATGATCCTGGAGTCCCGGGATCGAGTCCCGCATCGGGCTCCCTGCTCAGCAGGAAGTCTGCTTCTCCCTCTGACCCTCCCCCCTCTCATGTGCTCTCTCTCTCCTCTCATCCTTTCTCTCAAATAAATAAATAAAATCTTTAAAAAAAAAAAAAAAGATAGCTAAAGTGAGTTCATTTATCTCAAGGGCTGAGAGTAAATGTAGTCATGAAATCCAAGAATTTTATTTTTTTATTTCTTTATTTTTTTAAGATGTATTTATTTTATTTATTATTATTTTTTTTTATGTTAGTCACCATACAGTACATCATTGGTTTTTGATGTGGTGATCCACGATCCATTGTTTTCGTATAACACCCAGTGCTCCACGCAGTACGTGCCCTCCTTAATACCCATCACCGGGGTAACCAATCCCACCTCCCTGCTCCCCTCTAAAACCTTGTTTGTTTCTCAGAGTCCGTAGTCTCTCATGGTTCGTCTCTCCTTCCGATTTCCCTCCCTTCATTTTTCCCCCTTCCTTCTCCTAATGTCCTCCATGCTATTCCTTGTGTTCCACAAATAAGTGAAACCATATGATAATTGACTTTCTCTGCTTGACTTATTTCACTTGGCATAATGTCCTCCAGTCCCATCCATGTTAATGTAAAAGTTGGGTATGCATCCTTTCTGATGGCTGAGTAATATTCCATTGTATATATGGACCACAACTTCTTTATCCATCTGTTGAAGGGCATCTTGGCTCTTTCCACAGTTTGGCTGTTGTGGACAGAAATCCAAGAATTTTAATCTTAATGAAAAACCCAGTAGAGAAATGGGCAAAGAGTACATAAACAACTCACAGAAAAGCGAGTATAGATAGCTGAACCCTAGGAGGCCATGTTAGTCTCACTGTGAGGGGCCCAATTACAGATGTTTCTCTTGGCCTCTCACACTGGCAAAGCTTGGTGGCTTGATGCTGTGGGTAATGAGGTAGGGAAAGAGGTAGGCATGTACTTGTGCACTTCTGGGGGATACAGGGACAGTTCTGGGCAAATTACAAACACTTCTATGCCTTCAGCTGTTTTATTTTTGGAAATGTTTTCTATCCACACTTAAAGAAGTTCAGAGTTGCAAAACCCTATAAGCAATGCCTGTCAAGTAATAGGAAACTAAATTGCTACATCATAAAAGAGCTATTGTGTAGCCATTGAAGTTGCCAAGTTACAGAAGAGTATGTATCGTACTGCCATTAGAAACCAGTTTGGAAAGACATAGCTGGCAACAGGGAAGAGGAGGTTTTAATTCCTTTTCCTTGTCATTTTATCTTCTGTGAATATACGTATTAAATTTGAGTTGCCTTACCTGTGCTAAACTGGAGGTAAATTTGGAGACTGTGGTTTAATAGTTAAATAGAGGCAGTAAAGAACTACCATTACTTGGCTGATATACAAAAAACAATAACAACATGGATAGCAGAGGTCTCTCCTTAAACTCTCATGGAAATTCTTGTTTTTTATATTACCTGATTGATGTCCTAGATCTGAGAACAGGCTAACTTGAATGCCTGACTGGTTTGTTCCTTTGTGTTATCTCATTGTGTTCTAGATTGAATTTGCCAGGAAGAATGTGCATAGTGCCAACCAGAAAATTCAAGGTGCTCAGGATAAGTTCTATCTCTCCTGGGTGGAGTGGAAGAGAAGCGTTGGCTATGATGATACAGATGAGTCCCACTGTGCTGAGGTAAGACATTGGAGACAGAGTCCTCCCCTGTAGTTTCTGAGGATGTTCTTACCAAATTTTTCATTTCCATTTTCCCATTATTCCTCAGAATGCTCTTCTCTATCAAAAGTTTGAACAGTACTGTGTACCCAGGTTAAGTGACAGAAAACCAAAATGTGCAGACACACGTGTTGCCCGTACGTGTGGCAGTAATAACCTACAGACACACGTATTGCCCGTAACAACACTACTAAGTGAGAAACATGGGCCTTGCCCGCCTACTGGCTACAGATCGGACTAACGGGGGATACAAGCATTGGTACTGCTTTTTGACAGCATCAGTATAGTTGCCCTGAGAATACATAGGAAAGGAACCAACTCAGCCTTAGAGTAAGGATGGATGAGTCAGGTGGCGTCCTGGGAGAGCTCCGTGCTAAGCTGAGATCTGCGGGGTGAATAAACTAGGTGAAAGGGCACTAACATTCCAGACAGGACAGTAGCACGCTGTGGTCTTAGAAGGTGGCTCTTTGGGTTCCAACAGCTAGTATGCGTATCCCTGAAAAGTGCGTAGTACTGCTCTCAGCGTTCTTAAGAGGATTTTTTTTTTTTTAAAGATTTTATTTATTTATTTGAGAGAGAGAATGAGAGAGAGAGAGCATGAGAGGGGGGAGGGTCGGAGGGAGAAGCAGACTCCCCGCTGAGCAGGGAGCCCGATGCGGGACTCGATCCCTGGACTCCAGGATCATGACCTGAGCCGAAGGCAGTCGCCCAACCAACTGAGCCACCCAGGCGCCCCTTAAGAGGATTTTTAAAAGTCAAAGAAGCCACGTACGCAGTAGACACATAACCGGTTTACTGTAATTGAACTGATTTGTTAAACAGCACTGTTGGATCCACGGCTAATTTTTCAACTCCTTCTGTTTTTAGCACATTGAGTCACGTACTCTTGCTATTGCACGCAGCCTGACTCAGCAGCTCCAGACCACGTGCCACAGCCTGCTGTCCAATGTCCAGGGGTTACCACAGAACATCCAAGATCAGGCCAGTCACCTGGGGGTGATGGCTGGCGACATCTACTCAGTGTTCCGCAATGCTGCCTCCTTCAAGGAAGTGTCTGACGGCCTCCTCACTTCCAGCAAGGGGCAGCTGCAGAAAATGAAGGAGTCTTTAGATGATGTGATGGATTATCTTGTTAACAACACGCCTCTCAACTGGCTGGTAGGTCCCTTTTACCCGCAGCTGACCGAGTCTCAGAATGCTCAGGACCAAGGTGCACAGAAGGACACAAGCAGTCCGGAGGCCCAGCAGCCTGAGCACAGAACCTGTTAGAGCTGTCCTTGTCACCAGGACTGGGTGTGGCCAGCTGGAGGAGACTTTCTGTGATGTTGAAATTAACCTGCTAGACGACTCTGAATTGGGGAAGCAGCTAGCTAGAGAAAAGGTCCTCAGTTATAGTCATTTCTAACTGGATTAAGAGCTTTACAGTGTTTAGCATTAGTAGATGAGCTCTGCTTTTTTCCTGGCTGGTAAGAAAAGAATGCTAGGTTGGTCAGAGCCTGGCCAGGACTCCCAGAAAGTTTCCCTGCATTTATGGTGTCATCCATTGTTACCGCTGTTGCTGTTCGTTTGTCTTGAATAAAAACAACTTCCTGTGGGCTGTGGTGTGGGCTGGTGTCTGCTCCCATTTGGTCCTGTCACCGGTTGGTCGCACAGAGCATGCCTGTACAACTTTTTTTTTTTTTCATGAAGGAATGCGCCCTATGAATTCAATAAAATTCACTGCAGAATAGATCAACTTTATGCTGTGTGTTCCATGTGCTTTTGTATGTTGCTTTCATAGAGCTGCTTGGCCTGCGTGACAGGGTTATTAATACACGTAACGTGAATTCCAACCGGCCCTCTGGGGGATTTGGCAGAGCAATGCATTGGAAGGCTAGTGCTAAGAATGGAGTGTTTGATAACAGGTTTTCAACAAAATAAAGCTAATGTGCGTACAGGAATTTTTACGAGGTGGCAGTTACTGCCTTTATCTCTCCATTTATTTTTTTTTTAATTTTTAAAAAAGATTCTATTTATGTGAGAGCGCACGAGCGGGGTGAGGGGCAGAGGGAGAAGCAGACTCCCCGCTGAGCAGGGAGCCCGATGCGGGACTCGATCCTGGGATCATGACCTGAGCCGAAGGCAGATGCTTAACTGACTGAGCCACCCAGGCGCCCTTTTTCTCTCTCCATTTACTCAACCTCTTGAGAGGGGGTTTTAAGCCAGTAGAAAGCTGCTCGTGGCCGACTGCCTTGCTGAATGGGAATCAAAGCTGAAAGGAAGCAAGTGATAACGTGATAGAACTCCTAACAAGTTTCCCGTAAAGGCAGCAGGCCTTTCTTGCTAAAGGGCTGTTGAACGTGTGAGCCCTGAACTGCAACTAGCCAGTGTCCATTCTCAGCTGACTGGACTTGCTGTGTTGCCACTTTGGGAGAAAGTCACACTAGTTGGTGAGATACCTTTAGAAGACCAGGTGAGAGTAATTAGAAAGACTGGACCCTCTGTAGGAAAAGCTTAACTTCCTCCCTAGGGTGAATTCAGACTTCAGCCCCTCAATGTTGGTCAGCTCAGGAGGAAATTCCACAAATCTTATGACAAAACTGCAGTGTGCCGAACTGTTTGAAAAACAACTTAGAACTTGTAAAGTAGAGCTGCATGCTTCTAGCCATTCCTGCTAAATTAAGGTTAGCAAGGCTGCCCTTCGGCAGAACTGAAGTCTAAGATCTGTCCCCCCCCCTTTCTACCCAGGTTCCCCCCTTCTCCCCAAGAAAACAAGCAGCATATAACTACACCTTTGATGTGAGACCTATCCAGGCTTATGAAGTTACAGAACTAGATTTTTGCCCTTTAACTCCAGGAATCCTCAGATGAATTGGAAGGGAGGGACTGAGATGCTTGAAGCCAGGGGGCATCTGGTTTCTGGGAAGGTGGACTGCCATGATTCGTGGCTTCTAGGATGGAAGCTATCCATTCACACGCCTGTCTGCTCCCAGTAACGCATTTTCTAGAGCAACTGCCTCTTTACTATTCCTTAAAAAATTTTTTTAAATTTCTGAATCCAAGTTGAACATGCCCTTGCCCCTCTGCCTCAAAACTGCAAGGCTTGTATCTTGTGCTTTATTTTAATTGGTTGGAAAATCACATACCCTGGCCTATACATACTTTCTGAATCCTGAACAAACTGCGGTTTCCCCATCGTAAAAGTTGTGGTGCCAACTGAATTGCTTAAGAAAATGAGACTGTTCTCAAAGCTATTCTTTATGAGCCAGACAGAATATAAAGACTACTCTTAGCTTCCAGAAGAACACCACTGGCCCTCATTTTTTTGTCACGAGCTATGTGCACTTGTGGTTTTGTCTGTCCTTGTGTCTTGAGTCTGTGCCTGTGTGCATTCCATTCTGTTGTCAACATCAATATGTCTCAAAATCGTGTTCTTGCTTCTTACAGCTTTATTGTTGCATAAACTGGCAGTTTCGGTTTAACAGACTTTCTCCCAAGGAGAACGATTTTTGTGAGGAAAAAAAGCTGACTAAACACAGTAACTATGGAGGGTTTTTAAACATTTGGCTGCATGAAGGCTGGCATGGCATGCTTGAGTGTTCAAAGATGATTTTTTCTTTCCATGCAATAATAATAGTAACATGGACTCTGGTTAGTTCTGGGTAAAAAAATCAAAGGAACGGGCACCTGGGTGGCTCAGTCGTTAAGCGTCTGCCTTTGGCTCAGGTCATGATCCTAGGGTCCTGGGATCAGCCCCGCATCGGGCTCCCTGCTCGGCGGGAAGCCTGCTTCTCCCTCTCCCCACTCCCCCTGCTTGTGTTCCTGCTTTCGCTATCTCTCTGTCAAATAAATAAATAAAATCTTTAAAAAAAAAAAATCAAAGGAACATGGTGTACTAGCCATGAATCCCTTAGCCTTAGCTTTCTCATCTGTAATGTAAAATTAGTGATGCTTTCACAGATGGAAGTGAAGTGTTTGAGGATGGGATGTCTTTTTCTGTTTTGCACTTCGAGGCATGGGGACACCATCTGTGGGGCAGTGACATAAAGTATCTTTAACTTGCCAGTCCAGGTGTAAGCACATAATATCAGGTCAATATTAGGGAAATAAATCCATTTTGATAAGGCATTAACAGATACTGAAAAGCTAATGAAGTGAAAAAGAAAAAACTGAAATTTGGTCTATCTGAGCTATCCCTTTTATTTATTTGAGATAACGAGAGAGAGGGCCTGAGTGGGGGCAGAGGGAGAGGGAGAAGCAGGCTTCCCGCCGAGCAAGGAGCCCGATGTAGGGCTCGATCCCAGGATCCCTGGGATCATGACCTGAGCCGAAGGCAGGCACTTAACTGACTGAGCCACCCAAGCACCCCTGAGCTGTCCCTCTTAGAATACCATTTAGCTCATGGGGCTGGCTGGTGAAGGAGGAATACAGAGCAGGATAGATATTTGTGCATAAATCTTTAAGAAATGAAGTCTAAATGATGCCTGGAAGAGTAGATGTGGGGGTGTGGAAAGGAGGGCCCCTTGCCAGCCTGATCTCCCCGGGCTCTCATGGACTTGGGACTGCGCCAGCTCCATGAGTGACCTAGCATTGAGGTCTGCATGGATGATGGTCTTGTGAGATGTGTAGGTAGCTACATTAAAAGATTATTTAATTCAGTATTTGAGTTTCTAATAGTATAAAGTATGAACTCTGCCCTGAGGAGAATGGAAAGACCAGAAACTTTCCTCAAGAGATGTTTATAGTCTTAGGGGAAGCTTGTTGATGAATATTCAAGTAATATCCAGGTATAGAACACCACTTGTCCCTCACTCTGGCCCCCAGGCTGCTAATTTAAAGATTCCCTACCTTTATTACAAAATTAACCTGCAAAATACTACACTTCAGCATGAAGCAGTATAGGAATGGCAGGGCAACAATTTGGGTTTTCAGTTTTATTGACCAAAGCAAAAGAGAATGCTAACTTAGGGAATATTTCCTGTGTGTGTGTGGGGGTGGGTGGGTGGAGTTCTAATGTCTTCTAGAACTTAAAGTGAGGAAAGTAGTGGACAGTGTTGCTAACTGAGACTTTACAAAAATAATGAAGAGACTAACTGGTACCTTTATGTAGATAATGATGGAGAAATAGTTACCACTTCAATTATGTTTTCATTTCTCTTGGATTTATCCATGAGAGTGGAATTGTGAGTGGGTCATATAGTCACTGTGTCTAATTGAGGAACTGCCAAACTGTTTTCCACAGTGGCTGCAGCATCTTACGTGCCTACCAGCAAGGTATGGGGATTCTGATTTCTCCACACCTTCACCAACACTTGGTGAAGCCAACCTTTTTTAATTTTTTAATTTTTTATTCTATTTATTTATTTGAGAGAGAGAGAGCGAGAGCAGGAGCAGGGTGAGGGGCAGAGGGAGGAGCAGAGTCCCCACCAAGCAGGGAGCCCGATGTGGACTTGATCCCAGGACTCCAACCGTTTAAATGAAAATTTAGCATTAAAAAGAGTAGATGTTGTTTTATCTACTCTACACAGGCTAGGGCACAGGAAAACTCAGGTGAGGAGGTAGCTCAGGTATCTATCAGACTGACTCTGTATATAAAATAGCCCTAGTGAACTGTCTGCATGGATAACCTCACATCAGGGATCGTTCTCCTGTCCTCTCTGTCTATGCCGGGGATTATCAACTGGAAAGATTGATAAAATGCAGATTCCTGGGCTCCACATCCAGAGAATCTGTTTACTACGTCTGGTGGTAGTACCAGGCATCTGCACTTTTTAAAAGCATCCCTTTTAAAAAAATAAATTAAAAACAAACAAAAAACAACCTAAAAGCATCTCTTAAAAAAAAAGCATCATCCCTAGTGATTCTACCGCAGGTGGTCTACTAACTACTCTTAAGAGAAGCAAAGGAAACAGGAAACTACTTTAACCTGAGACAAAAATAGGACTAGGGTTACCTATAGTCCCTTCTCTCCAAATAAGACCCTCAGTGTGGGTTCCATAAAGTGTCCTAAGACCTACTCTTGATTTACCTGCTCAAATGAATGGAATACACAGGAGCTAGCAATGACTAGTTGAATGGTGTGCAATGGATACCAAGAATCACTTTAATTTTGTTGGGATCACTGCCAACCTGCTTCCTATGCTGAGAGTTCTAGCCACTTCCACAGACTTGTTAGCTAAGGACAAAGCATCAGGGTACGTTCTAGAGGGTGTTTCTACAGCAGGGAAGGGGATGTGCACCAGGAGATAGTACTCAACTGTACCAAACTGTTCAAGTAAAGCAGAACCAAGATGCTCCTGGCTGTCTAGCTTGTAAGCACATCAACAAGCCGCCTATGCAATCTAGTATGGATGGTGAGATGTTTCTGCTAAATTAAACCCTCACCAGGGTTTACCGTACATATTTGGTGTTAGAACTAATCGTTACCTCTTGCATGATCCTTTTATAGCCCTATATATCAAATTACTTTTAACTAACAAATTTCAGTTTTTATTTTCACTTCATTAGTACTTCAATACTTATTCTATTTCAAAATAAATCAATTTTCCCAATTTCTGTGTCATGTTTAATCAGCACTGCATGCTCATCTTTGCCAGCAAGTTACATTCCCACAGATGATGTTTTTATTTATTTATTTTTTAAGATTTATTTATTAATTTTGAGAGAGAGAGAGGGAAAACACATGCACAGGGTGGGGAGAGAGCGAGGGAGAATCTCTAACAGACTCCCTACTGAGCACCAAGCTGACCCTGGGCTCCATC